GCAGAGAGAGCCCGGCCAAGCTGCAGAGGCTGCCCTGACCTGCCGTACAGCTGGGGGGCTTTTGAACCGGGTTTTTGTACATCGACTGGGTATGGGGAGGGGGGTTGTTTTCATTTTCTGCTTTTCTTGGCTTGGTTTGCTTTGGCTCACACGTTCCCTCCTCCTCTTGCTGAGTAATAGCTCCATGAGACCTCTCTTCCAGCTGGGATGGAGAAAGGTTTGGGCACATAGACATCTGTTAATGGTGCCCCAAGAGTCAGCTCCTAGGGGATGCTCTGTAGGGGGCCCACCAGCTCCCCAGAGCTCAAGCAGCTGTAGCCAGGTAACCTGGGCTCCTTGTGAGCGTGTCCTGCCCTTTGCCATGGCCAAGGCTCGAGCTGGAGCTCAGCACCCTGTCGCCAGTGGTGCTGCGGGAAGAGCTGGCAGGGGGGATGCTGGCGTGGTCCCAGCTGGAAGCTGCTCAATTGATCCCGTGGCTGGAGGGGTCAGGGCCAGAACTTCAAAATGCAGAGGCAGGATTTCTGTGTGAAATTTCCCTGGCAGATACCATCGGCGGGCGGGCGTCCGGGGCAGCCGCACTTGCCAGTTACAAGCCTGTATTTTTGCACATGGCGCATGCTAAAAACCTGGAGGTGGAACCATGTTTTGTGACCATCTTTCATCTCCATTTTCTCATATCATCAGGAGCTTGGTCAGAGAGCTCTTATATCAGAGGAGTCACTGGAGTAACAGGAACAACAATTTTCTTCAGAAACGTGGGACAAAGAGAGAAGCTGGTGCAGGTTGAACATGCTCATGTAGGACTTGGGAGACACTCGTTGCATCCTCTCAATGTCTTGGACAAGTGCTAGGCTCTGATCTGGAAAGACAGACCCATCAATTTTGTTAGGAATTATCTTCTGGGCATGCAGTGTGATAGAGGGGAGCATGGGAGGACATGGAAGTTGAAGATTTCCAGGTACTTTGCTGCTGGAGAGAAAAGTCTGCCTGATAGGCAGGTTCTCTGTAGCATGACCCATCAGGATCCAACTGTACCATGAGGCTATTGACTCGTCTTGCCATGTTGAATGTCACAGAATTACGTTTTATATGACTTGAGGCAAAAACCAATATCATGTTGTGTCCCACAGCATTACCAAGGAGAGGACAGAGGTTATCCTTCAGGGGACGTCCAGCCTGGATCCCAATGACCCCGCTGCTGTCTGGGAGGAGTATGACTTCAAATGCAAGCCTGGGGACTTGAAGAGGAGGCCGTGCTTCATCACCCCCTACCACTACCGCCTGGACTGGCTTATGTGGTTTGCTGCCTTCCAGGTATGTGCCTGTGGGTGTTCTGAGACTTGGGTGTCCCTTGACCGGGAAAAACAGCTCATATGAATTTGTAAGTGTTGGGGTGGGCAAAAGAATATTTGAAACCCTGGCTAAGTTAATTATGTTAAAAAAAGGGTTGTGTTCCTAAAGCATGTCTGCTACTAGTGTAATGAAACTCTTGGAGGTTTTATGTGAGGCTTTTTAATTGTTTCTCAGCAATAACAAGAGTTAAAGATACTGAGAAAGTCCCTGGACTGCACCTGCCGTGCGAAGGGGGGCAGAAGCTGCCTCTCAGGGTCTCACCAGGGCCAGCAGCATCCCTGGCTGCCCCCTCCCCTGGTTGGTTGGACCCGCAT